CTGCATTTCATGGGTGCACTGAACTGCAGAACTTCAGTTTGGAATTTGACTCTCCCCAGTACCAATGGAAATGATGGATATCTCAATACCAATATTCCTGTAACTGATGGCAACACACCCAAGAAGGACAATTTTAACATCAATCAAGAATGAAACCCATGGCTTTTGGAGGAGTGGAGCAGGATTCTTCTCCCCACTGTTGAGTGCAAACTATCCAATTTGATAATCTCAAATTCACTTTCTGCAAGTATTTTTCTTCAATTTAACTTTCCAGGAATAGCAGGAAAAAAAAAAATCATCTGCTCAAACCATGCCTCTTTCTGAGTTAGTTGTGTCACTGTAATTTACACGAGGTAAAATTGTTTCCAAGAATACAAGTGAATGTAATTTATCTCTTTGTACATAGCTCCCAGGACAATTAGGTTTGTTATGTAACTGCATTTATGAAATACGGGAACCTAAGGTAAAAGTCTCTATTTTGTCCAGGTTAATGGCAGAATTCTTCTGTATTTCATTGGGCCAGTTCTTAGAGAAGGGATTATTTCCTTGCTATAAATAAAGAAAACCATCTGATACAGACTCATACTTGACTCAGAACATAAGTTATATGGACCACAAGATGCTATTTTAAGAAATTACTGCTGAAAGAATAATAATTAAAAAACATTGAATATCCCCTTTTTTGCAAAATATGTAATGAAGTAAAAGACAACCAGATAAATAATCCCTTAAAAAACACCCAAACATTAATAATATTTCTAAGCATCTATTTTTTCACTGTACTTGGATTAACTACATGTTTAACTTAACTTGTGGACCTTCATATCCACACACAACAGTACCATGAGTGACAGTGACCATAAACTACTTCATAGTAGTATATGTGGAAATTATATGGTAGGTTCATTGCCATTACGAACAAATGACACCTAGATAAGGTTGCTTGTCACCCACTGTGCTTTATGCTTCATGAAGTTTATGCAGTCAGCCACATCAACTGGATACATGAGCAGAAGCATACAGACACAAGAGCCTGTCTGCACTATAAGAAAGCACTAGCCTTCAGTAAAATAGTTAATTTAAAATACATAGAGCTTTGCTGAAAGACTTTTCCATGTCTACATGTAGTTCTTAAGGAGAGAATCTTCACACCACACTTTTAATCACACTTCTATAGTTTTTACCAGTTGTGACCAGGGTGGCTTATGCAGAGGGAAAACAGAACAGTTGTAGAACTCCAGTGGTATTTTGTACCAGTGGGGCCTATTCTCATATTTTATTCCAATGAAGTTAGTCCAGAAGAGCTTTAAAACTGGCTACAATCTGAACCATAATCCTATTCAAATGCTACCAGAAATCCCTTCCAAAAATTTTGTTCAACATTGATTCCATTCAGAGATGATGGTGCCACAGAGGGCTGGTTATTTAACCTGAAGTTGCATTCTTATCTTACTTCTATGTTTCCAAGCTTGTGTCCTGAAAGTGCTAAGCTAGAACAGGATCTTTATCAACACCAATTTTTCTATTAATTATTCATTTATACTTCATAAGGTTTATGCAGATATCAGTAGCGATTGAGTAAATGAGTACAGGCATACAGGCAGGTGGAAAAGGCTTCAACACCAACCATCTCACTATAGAATTTGGGCAGTGTGAAGCACCAGATCCCTAGTGAAGTCATTCAGAACTTTGGCTGAAGAAAATAGAACTTTGACTTCTAGGTGTGCAATGTTGAGAAGACTTCATGATCCTACGCTGAAATAATTATGAATAGAAACACTTTATGCTGGGAAAATTTGCTGAAATTGTGAAATAGGAATGTTGCAACAAGTGTGTGTGTTTCTGGCAGCATTGTGTCTGGACAACTCACTGGCATCCAGTCACTGGGTTGGAACAACTTTTGACTGTTTTCTCTGCATTCTAGTTTAAGATTGAATTCCTTCTGTACAGGATAAGGGACTAAGCTTCTCCCTCCATCCCACTCCTCTTTTTCTCTTCTAGCCAGCAAAGCTGTTGTCTTGTAATCAAAGAGCACATTAGCATCCAAGTATCCACAAACAGTTTACGCCAGGAGTAGAAAGTTGCCTTGGCAAGTATAAACATTGTCTACAGACAGCCTTCACAGAAAGTACTACACAATTGAAATTTGTCCTATTACCCCTGGATCTGAGGTACCACTGGCACAGTTATTCAGCCATTTGAAAAATGATCTGCCCAACAGATAGAAGGCAGTGGGAGCCATGAGGTGTCTTATTCTGAAGGAGGAAAAGTTATTCGTAATACTTTCTTAGATAAAGATGTGATAATGACAAACAGACATAGGAAAGAAATGAGACACATTTTAAGACAGTATAGAAATGCCTTTACAGGATACCAGTCCTGAATGGTATACATAAAGGTCTTCCTATAAGCTGTTGATGTCAGTTACTCTCTACTCCCTGCCTGCCCTCAGTGGGGTAGCAGTCTCTGCTGCTGATGCCCTGAGTGCACCAGAGTGCTCTTAGAGCTCTGAAGGTCAGGTAGGAATTTTCCTTTTCCAGTGTGGGAGTTGTTACACCATGATGGTATGAAGGTAAAAAAAACCCAAAAAAACCCCCAAAACAACAACAAACAAACAAACAAAAACAAATAAACAAAAATTAAAAACACCAAAAAAAAAAAAACCCAAAAACCACTGTACTAAATAGAGATTGGACTCTATTGGACTCTTGGTTTCTTGATTGGAAATGTCAGATCAGTGAAAGCTGGGAATTGCAGTATTTTAGTGTCCACATACACAGCCCTTCCTTTACATCACTCCTATGTATGATTCTGCTTACTTGCGAAAGGATTGCCTGTTTTGAGCATTGTCATCAGAAACAAAAGCATTTGGTGACTCCTCTGGAATAGACTGTACTGTGGAGTCAGCTCTGTATTTTGGGACACACGTTTCGGTTGAGGTCAGAATTTGGGTCACCAATTGCTTTAGGCTGCGGTTCTGTCAGTAGAGGGCACCACAGTTATGTATATACACCCACCTTTCCATCGCGTACACCCCTAGGAACAAATGTCACAGATGGGCAGCACTATCGTTAAGACAGGTAAGGATTCTGCATCAATGAAGGATCTTGAATACAAAGACAAGCTTTTGCTCTCAATGTGAGAAGCTCACTCTAAAAAGCACTAAGAAGTAAGAGATGTTGCTTGTTGTATGGTTAAGATCAAATACTGATTCTGCATGTAGCAAGGACTTGGGACAATATATGAGTAGCAGACTTTGCAACTCCTAGTATCCTTCCTTTATTTCATTAACATCTCACTTTTTTCTTCATGGTATCACATAATATTAATATTCCTAATATGAATTTTGTACTGTTTTCTCTACCATTGTTTTTCTGTCAAGTGCTTAGTTTCTAATCATACACTGTTATACAAACACATATAACAGGAAAACAGTAAAGGACAAAGGGGAGGAGTGAGAAATGAACAGTGTGGAGCAGAGAAAAACAGACAAGACAAAATGTGCTGAGACTTTTGTTACACAGATGTGAGAATGACATTGCCATTGTGAGCACAATACACATATAAAACAATGATGAAACAGGTCACAGAAATGCACTGAAACTTCATGAACTCTTAATTGCACAAAAGACTTGAACAAACAAATGATGATTATCTGAAATAATTTCTTAACATTCATTCCAGTCCTCTCATTTTTTAAAAAAATCAGCCAAGCTACAGAAAGTTAGTTGCTTTCTCCCTTCTTGTTTTTTTCTGCTCTAGGTTTGGACCTTCTCATTCTCTCAGTATCTCAGAAAAAGGATGTTGCATTTTCACTCCTTCCTTTCTTTAGACATGTACACTTCCAGCAATACTGAAGAATTTTCATGTAAGTTTCCTGCAGCTCCACTGTATTTAAATTGTGTTTCTCCTACCTAGTTTCAAGATTTATAACAGCAAATGTGAACTTCCCCAGCTTTATACAACAGCTGGAGATCTCTTCCAGCAATAACTATGTGTAGCTGTGAAGGTCCTTACACTCCAAGTAATAGTGAAAGCCTATAAAGTATATATCCACTTAGCAATTAGGCTGCCACTTTATAACTACTTCTATTTTCTGTATGAAATACTATGCATAAGCAAATTAGCCTTTTTATTCTGGCATGAAAAGACAAACTCATAACAGCATCTGAAAGCCATTGGTACTGTTGATATTGCTGCATTAGAAAAAATGGTGTGTTCACATAGCTGTATGATGTCACTGCATGCTGCTTTGCTATTAGAGAAGAAAGATTATCCCCATTCTGGTCTTTGCATGAGAATGCAATGAAAATCTGCACCAGTTACAAAATGGTCAGGCATCATGGCTCCTTCAGTGCCAGAGTTTCTGGAACCTGAAGAGTTTTGCAAGATGTAAAAAACCACCATTAACATCCTGCTGATTGCCTTTACGGACCTGTGATGCAGATAATCAAAACACTGATGAATTCCCTGGCTTTGCTGAAATCACATCACATAAATCCACTTACATGAAGAGACATACAAGCCCTTCCCTGTTTGTGACTCATCACTTGGTGTATGCTTTCCACTCAGGAGTTTCAGCAGGTTATCGGAAAAATCCTGTACCAGGGTGTGTGGGGGGTGGTGCCTCCACAAAGTTAATATTAGCATTCCCCTTGGAAGAGGAGAGCTGTAAGAACTGAGCACACTGTGTCTGTGTATACTACGACAGAGAAGGAGAAGTCTGCGGGTAGGTACCGTAGGCAGAGGAGAAGCAGTAACTTTCGCTGTTGCCGTGAGTACGTCGTGTGTCCAGTGCTGAGCAGTGAGGATGTTCTACAGCAGAGGAACCCTCGGTGCACCCAGACTCAGCCCTGCAGTTACTGCACTGGCCAGCAGCAGCCATTCTTCAGCTCTGAGATTGACCCTTTGTATTCTTTTCTTTCTTTCACTCTTTCAAAATTGAGGAAGAGGAAATTTACAGATCCACGGGTTATTCCTGCTGCAATTTTCCACTGTGGTTTTTTTTCCCCCGCTGTTTTGTTTTGATGTATGTATCTTTTCTTTAATAAATATATATATATATATATATTTTTTTTTTTTTTTTTTTTTTTTTTTCCTGTCGAGAAACAGCACTTTCCACTAGATGGAGACAGGACACTGGATCACTTTGTCCTCCAGAAGGACACTGACAATCAGGAACACAAAATAAAGTCCAAACATGAGGAAACCCAGGATTTTATTCATCCTCCACTTGCAGGAAGCAATGGAGAGGATGACAAAGAGCAGCATGATGAAGAGGAGGACAATCGCACAGAACAGACCATTGCTGCTGACTGTCACTGGGGCAAAGCTGTTAACCACAGCATACAGGAGCCATGGAAGAGGAAGGCTTTAAAGAAACAGAAAAATTAATTTAAAACATTGCAGAAGTCCAGAAGGGAGCACTAGAAAGTTTCTGGTGACAAATCAAAACACAACCAAAGGCTTTCTACATAAAGTGAGGTAGGAAGAGGCTCAACTCTCACGATAATTGCATAAATATAAATTGTAAGCTTTCTCATGGTTCTTGGGGAGAACACACAGGATTTTTTGCCCTCCACTCTTCCACCAATTATTCGGGTGAATTATATTTCCCTTGGCTGGCAAATCACCTCGCATCCTGTTTGCGAAGAGGAAAACCTCTTTCATTTGTTTCTAGACTTCACACTATCTGCAGACGCTATTTGCACACTCTTTCCAAGAGCCCATCTGACAGGAGGGTGGGTTGGAAAGAAACATGTCCTTGCCATGAAGAACCAGCACTCTGCAAGCCACTGCATGCAAAATTTCACCCTTAAATATCTTTGTCCACATTTACTGTATAAACCTCTGTTTAACTGTGAACTTCAATTGAACTTCAGCTTAACTTCTATTTCTGTGTTTGCTGTCTTTGCATTTCTCATCTCTCACGCTACAGAAGGAGACAATATCCCTCTGCAAGATGTCAAGCTGAAATAAATATTTAAGACACTGACTGGAGCTCAGCAGGCTTAGAAAGCAAGACGTGAATTGTCAGAAGCTCACAACATTAAAACTTTGAATAAGCAGCTCAGGAGAGAATAATTTATTACAGCTGCAGTACTAACTACAGCAGTCTACAGCTCAACTGTGCCATTTCTGTTGTAAATGTAGCAGACTGGTGCAGAACAAAACCATTTCCTTTGGCAGGAACATTAAACATTTTTAAAAAGAAAGAAAGCACTGCAAAAGAGAAATAATTTTGTAATGCATCCTTCTACTCCAAGTTGGAAGACATGGCTTTCATGCATTTTACAGGTGTGCTGCATATAGATATTTCAAAGACTTAATGCTTCTGGATTAATAGAAAATTGGCCAAGTTTTCCTACTATGTCTAAAGTACTGCCATTAGCTAAGAGATAAAGTAAAAAAATATATTTTCTATACATTCTAACTTCAGGATCTTTTTTTTGTATCTTTGTGCTGTTGCTGGTATATTTTCAGCTATGAAAACTAGGATCTCTTCTACAACCAGGCTGTCTGGCACTGTAACTATGACTAGACCTGTTCTTCTGTTTGTGTGTGATAGCAAGGAACAACCAAAGATGGAGAAATTGAAAGTATGGTCACGATTCTCAGTACCTCCATCCTGCGTTGAAGATGGGAATGTGAGAAGAAAGACAGAATTTATCTGTGTATTTCCTGCACATTTTTGAAACACTGAGGCATGGATTACACTATTTCTGAACCTGATCTACCTTGGTCTCAAAAGATCAAAAAAGAATTTGAATTACAACATTATGCCACAAATCATTACCCTAGAGCTGCCATGAAGCAGTGAAGGGTAAGTAGAAAACTTCTGCACAATCTCATGTAGCTTCATATTGTCAGAGCTATAAAAAGGGTCCCTTTTTGTTAACAGATAATTGGTTTGTAATTTGGGACTTGTCAGGTATAGAAAAAAAAATTAAGCACATGTCAACAGCAGCCTAAACCAGTTACACAAGACAATGAATTTCTGTTGTTGCAGCAAACATGTTGAATACTGCAGAGGCAATGAATTGTTCCTGATCATCATTTATAAAGAAAGCTCTAGTATAAGCACAATGAGTTGTAGCAGAAAACAAAGAGCAACCTCACAAAAGTGTAAAAAGCTTTGAAATTCCTTTTCGGAACAATGCTCTTGCACAATTTTAAAGTGCAATTCACTTGCCTAAGCCTCTCTGTAACATACCAAAGCAAGGATTAAGCAAAAAATTTATAACATTTCTTTATTCAGACATCTATAAACTTCAGAGCACTTGCTACAGTAACATTTGCTTTGTATTTGCATTACTCTGCTTTTTAAAGATTGCTGCTTGTAGGCAATAACACAGCAATGTGCTAAGAACAAAAGACTTGCTTAAAATAGACACAATTTTCTTGATGTAGAACTTACCCCACTGTGATGTCAAATATGTTGCTTCCAACAGAACTGGATACAGCCATGTCCCCCAGACCTTTGCGTGCCACAATAACACTGGTAATAAGGTCAGGAATGGATGTGCCAGCAGCTAGAATAGTCAATCCCATGATTTCTTCAGTAATACCAATGGTCTCTCCAACCTAGAAGAGTATAAATAAAACCAGAAAAAAGTGTCCTGTAGTGAAGAAATGTTTTCAACTGTCCTGGACTTTCCCACTAGTTTGGAAAATACCAGGCAAGATCAGAGAAATACTAGTTTTCATGGATTTTCCCATGTATCAGGAGAAAGGTAAGGCTTTCAAATAGAAGCATAAGGTATTGACAACAGTTGTGGATGGTTCTGATGTTACAAGAATGATCAAGTCCTGTGGTCAGGCCAACCACAGCTCTCTGAACTACCTTCCATTTACTGAGTACTGATTTACTTTATCCATGGTTACAGCTCCTAAAATAAAGCAGCACCCAGCACGAGATAGATGGACTCTGACAGAAATGATCTTTTACAGTGCAAAACATAATGCAGGGCTTTTATTTTGTGACAGTATCACCTCCTTACCTGGTGTGCCCACCAGACCATCAAGTAAGAAAAGAAGGCAATCCAGCTGATAGAGCCAAAAAATGTGATAGGAAAAAATTTTCTTGATGTCTGAAACAGAAACAAGGAGAAACAGTGAAAACCTATATTGAAGGCTGACATGCCATACTCAATTCCTTTTCAATATGAGAGTGGCTTCTTATTTTTTTCTGATGGTCTGTTCTAAGCAGCTGTTCTGATCATCATCAGATGATCAAAATACCTGTCAAGAAAAGTAAGAAACAGATGCCCTGACATTGTACCTCATTCTTACAATTGCTTCAGTCATAAAATAAGATTTCCTAAGAACTTGATGAATGGAAAATTTGTTTGTAATTTGTTACAATGCAGTTTGCATATGTGTGTAGCACAACAGTGGTTTGACTTCTAAATTTGTTAATAATTTCATGTTTCTTCAGAATGAATGTTTTCAAATTGCTTCAACAGGTGTCCATATCTTTCCTTCCTACATTAGTAACTTTTTGAAACAAATTTCACAATCAGTATAAAAAAGACTGCCATCTGGCAGGGCTAAAAACATGTACACCTAAAATTTATTACAGCATTTACTCTGCTTGTGAAAACTACTCACTTTCTCAACAGAAGATATGTTAAGCACATATTTTCCATACTTCATTTTGTAGAAAAATTTAATGTTATAATGTTATAAAAACACGCAAAACATACTGTCAGGCCCTTCAATGAATTAGAAACTCTGTGTAATTTTCATTTTCACTGTCTCCCTTACTAGTGTCAGATTTTGAACAGACAGTGTTCTTGCAGCCAATGAATGGGTTATATTCAGATTAATGATTTATTTTGGTTTCTGTTCTTTCAGAAATCTTTTGCATTTTCTGTATTACCTATGGACTAACTGAATCTATGTAACAAAAAGAGGTCAAGTTAACTACTAAAGGAAGGAAACAAAATTGCAGTACTGCACCAGGCTAACACTATCTAAATCAAATCAGTACTTAAAATTAAATTTGTCCTGTGAATGAATTCTACCAGTCTTTCTTTATGGTCATTGACCTTCTGAGTGCAGATCTTTCCTCAGATGATTTCTGACATGTGACTAGCAGAGTCCTACAAATTGCATGAATAGCCAGTAGGACTGCCTGTGGAAGTAAGTTATACCACTCTGAATGCCTCTTATGGCTGCTGCTCAGTCTTGCAGTACTTCTTCCCATTTGGTCCTCACTAAATCCACTTCCATTCCAGAATTTTTGTGCCCCCTTTCATTGCAGGTCATGCCCCTGCTGTATCAGGAGGCTCCTTAAGACAGTGGATCATTCCTAGGTGTTGTGGAAGTATATGGGACTGCAGGGCTTTCCCTCAGTGTGACTTTTGGACAGAAAATACCATTTGTTCTGATTCAGATTCTTCAAGCCATAACAAACACTTCTTTTTCTAGGGAGCTTACAGAGCTGCACAGTCAGCTTTCCTTATATAACAAACTCAGCAGACATTTGTATGAAACAGTTTCACAATTAGGAACTGATCAGCACGGAACCATAGAGTGGCTGTAGACCAAAAAATGATCAGTGTATTGGGCTGGCCATTAGAGCTGGTCAAGCAGGAATGTCACTGTGTTTTGCCAGCTGAACCTGGAAAAAGTGAGGCTGGGCTGTAGCTCAATGAGACTGGGTAGATTTTCTGCTGATGTAACTGGAACAAGCTCAGGACATTAACTGATGTAAAAAGGGTAAAGTCAGCAATGCCAATTGTGCACGCTTATCTACAACATGGGACAAATAGAAGGTCCGTATCTGCTCCAGCGGCAGGTGCAGCTGCTGGCTGTGCTACAGAGCACTAACTCACTCCCTGTGTGTACTTTGCATAATGCTAAATGTCCTCCTGAAAACTGAGCATGTTGACTAACACGAGCTATACAATTTCATAACTGAATACACACAGGAACACACATTAAAAATGGTAGAGATTTAACAACACTACCAGAGGGATGGAATACCTCTTCTGAGAGAATTTGGATTGTACAGCCTGGAGAAGAGAAGGCTTTGGCGTGATCTAATTGCAGTCTTCCAGTACCTAAAGGGAGCTTCTAAGAAAGATGGAGAGAGACTATTCACAAGAGCATGTAATGACAGGACAAGAGGACTAAAAAAGTAGAAAGAAAGATTTACACTGGACATTAGGAAGAAGCCTTTAGTTTGAGGATGGTGAGACACTGGAACAGGCTGCCCAGAGAAGTTGCGAATGCCCCATCTCTGACAGTGCTCAAGGCCAGGCTGGACCAGGCTCTGAGCAACCTGGCCTAGAGAAATGTGTCCTTGCCCACATCATGGGGGTTGGAGCTAGATGATCTCTAAGGTTCCCATCCAACCCAAACCATTTTATATATCTGTGATTCTAAACTCCTTCATAACATAAATAACTGAAGATCTGTTGGAGTAGAAGTGGTCCAGTAGGTGTTTTAAACAGATTACCCTCAAATAACCACCACAGCACCTGGAAACATCCTTTTCATATAAATTCCACTACTGTCACAAGCACTGTTTTTAGAAGTACTCATGGTACTTTGGTTGATCTATTTCTTAATTGCTTCTCAACTCATTACAGAGTAACTTTTTCAAAAGAGAGTTCTAAATTTCTATCAAACCAGAAAATATGATAATGAGCTTACGATATTTAAAACCTACTCAGATGGAATTTTAAGTTTAAAATCAAAATTTTACATGCATTGGGGGACAGAAGACAATGAGAAAAGGAACACAATTGAAAGAAACATATCAATGGCTGTTATAATGATCTGACACCAGTGGGAGCAAAATTAAGACTGGTAGAAATAAATGAATCTAAATAGCAATTTCTCTTTTAAAACTAAGCAGGTAGCACTTTTTTTTCACCATTCCTAGTCGTCAACTTTTCCAACTTCCAACATTTTTCATCTGCCTTGTAAAAGCTCCGATCTTTTGGCAGGACATATGGTAATGAGACAATGAAGCAAAAAAATTGGTGGAACTGGTCACAAAATCTGCATAGAGCACCATCTGCAGCAATGCAATTTGAATGATCACTGCACAATGCTCAAGATTTAAGCACACACTGGCTTAAGCAAAACTAATACAATACATGCTGGTCAGTAACAGTTCTCTGATGGTGCGATTATATACATCAAACGGTTCTTGCAAAACAAGGAGACACTGCCTATCTGAGCCAGACACCCACAGAATTTGGATGGCTAAGAATTACGACTCAGTAACTTTGCAGCATGTGTACTCCTCGCCTGTCTTAGCTAATCCTCTCCCACTAAAATTAACTGATAAGCAGCAGTCCAAGATACTTTAATAGGCTTAACACTTAAATTATCTATTTTAAAAAGGGGAACATTTAAATTCAGAAAGGGCAAAATGTAAAGCTTGTACATTTTACAGGAGATGAAATAAAAAATGGAATCCACAGATACTGCTATATAATGTGCATATAGATGAAAATTTGAAAAAGCCATAACCAGAACGCCGATTCTTTTTTGTATGCTGGATTTTATTCCAGACTATAACAATAACAATCATGCTTGTTTGGTAAATAGTTTCAGCATTCTTTTGATATTTATGTAATTTCTACTCTCTAGCTCTTTGAAATACACAGGGCTGCCAATTCTAAGCATTTTCCTAAAAGAATTAGTCAGAGACAGCAGACAGCAATACTTCTCTCCATCTTTTTCAGTAGTTGTTGTGGTGGTTGACTTGTAAAGACAGAGTGCAGAGTTTATTAGCAATTGGCTCTTTTGTGGTCCAAGTAAGAGATAAATGAGAGAAGCCATGGCTCACTCAGTTCATATGCTATTTTCCCTTAAGAAAAGCAAAAGGATTTTGTAGTTCCACTGTAGATTAGATGGATTGGTACTGTTCCTGTCTATAAGAAACCTTAAGAACATTTTTCTTGATACATTTCTACATATTTATTTAGTACCAGTGTCTGAAAAACAGGACTATAAGTAGCAAAAATAATCCAGGTATGAAGGCTTTTCTTCTAAGAGCTTGATCCTGGAAGGTATTGTCTGCTGAATAATCTGGAAAGTAACTCTTCTAATTTTAGCCAGCATTATTACCAACATCTTTAACCTGAATGATTCACATGTTTGTCTTGTTCATAAATGTATCTGCATTGCAAAGTTTGATCTTTCTTTCACACTTAACAGTGCTTAACTCTGATTACTCAGAATCTGCTCTTCTAACTGGATCTGTACAGGAACATGTTGTCCTTGTCCCCTTGGTAACAGTGCATCTCTGTATGGCAACAAGAGTTCATGCAAGTTGTAGCTCTTCGTTTATAATGGGAATTTGCAGAGATAGAAGGAACTCCCCCTTATGGGTCCAGTGATGGCAGGACTGGAGCCCCAAGGGCCATTTTTCTGGCCTGTAATGCAAAGGGATGGACAGTGGAGTTTGGTTATAATAAAAGAGGTGGTTTTCAGTATCTGCTCCTGACCTACTGGGGCACCTTGGTCACATAATTTTTCTTTCAGCCTTTCAATATCTGTTACTCCAGGAAACGGGCAGTTACATATGACCTTTACAGAGCCACTGGGGAAACAAGCCAATAGTGCAGGAAAAATAGCCATTAGTGTTCGAAACACCTGAGCAAAAACTCAGGAAAAAAATTCCCTAAGGGCACACCCACCCTTGGGATATGCCAACAACATTATTGATGTTATAGCAAGGATTTTAATATATGCTGGCTTAATGTGAGCAGGTGTTATTAAGGCACTAAACATGTTAAAACATCTCAGTTAGTCAATCAGCTGGCGGTTAGCTGAACTAATGCATAATCTACTTTAAGTATACAAAAATCTGCATATGATGTGTGCACCACAGCATAATAAGGCAGCAGGATTTTGCTAACTTTAGAACCAGAGACCTTGTCTACAAAATAATTTTTCTAGAGCTCCTGGGTTTCATGGAACTAAATGTATCTCAAAATAGTACAGATAAATGCAGGGAAACCATCTTCTTTGTGTGGAGATAAAACACACACTAGAAAAAAACTCCAGATAGAAGGAAGAACTTACTGAAAAGTGGACACCCACAGAGGATACCAAAGCTCCATATGGTCTTTCAAATCAGTATATAGCACAAAAGCATTCACTTTATATATGCATATGCTAATCTGAGTGTCCTGATGCAGAATTTGGGTTTCTGATTAAAATTACCACACTTGCAAATCAAGCCCCTGATGGCGGACCTATCTAAAAAGTCTAGTTGAGTATTATTTTAGGTTTGCATTCACTTTTATCTCACAGATATAATTGAAAATTGTTTTCTGATGCACATGCTGAGCTGTGATAGCAGGCATAATTTTTGCTAGGAAGAAATTAGTGGGGATGGCACACTGAAATAAGTGAGAAATTTTGAAGATAAATTAATGAAGCATACTTAAAATGTTAGATAGTTTATGCAACTATGTGGTTAATTCTTTGACAGCAATGTTCAAAGTAAGCAGCTTGTCATACTGATACAGCCCATTACCTCTTCCGTTAATCTACATGTAATTACAAACTACATTTTCAGGGTTTTTTTCTGTATAAACTACTCCTTTCAGTGAATGGAGTTTTAAAACTCTGTTTTTAAAACCTGCCTACCTGGAACATACATCCATGCTTATCTTTAGTACTATGGCAAGTGCATCTTTATGTGCTATCTTTTGTGTTATAGCTGATGGATGTCAGCACAGAATTCTGTTGTGAATGGTACTAGTGTTAATAATAACATGCAATAGTTGCAGGCAACCTGTCAAGATATTCACTTACCAAAACTATTATTGAAAAAATGTTCCCATTTGTACAGCACAGAATATTGGATAAAGCTACAGGTCTACTTATATTGCCTTCAGTTTTTCAAAATTCAAAATAAAGCCTATAAATATTTCTCACTAATTTTATATCAAATTGCAAAAAAAAAAAAAATTACAAGGATGGTTTTGAATGATGAAAGGAGGACATAAATTCAGAAATAAACAATCTTGAAATTCATGCAGTATGTTCTGTGTGTTATGTAACAAAAGTCACTTCCAGAGTTTTCTGGAATCTTTAAGAAAAAGAAAGCCTAAAAATTGGAAAGGGAAAAAGCATCAGAAGGGAAAGAAGGGCAAACGTCACTTTATAGCCTTTGGAACTTTTTATCTGAAAAAAAGAGATCTTATTTTAGCTTCTTTCTTGCACTGAATTGCAGTTTTTCAGTGTGTGGGATGGGAAGGTTTTTCACTGTGTGTGAAGAGGAAAGAATAATTCAGGGTGTTGATTTATAAACTTACATGCTGTGCATGCCTTTCTTGCAGCAGTTTTAAACCCGTTTTTGATCCAGAAAGGAAAAGAGATTAAAACACCACTAATTTTTTTTTTTTTTTTTTTCAGGTCTTGATGCTCTCTCTTTTACTTTCCATGAGCTTTCCCAGTCAGGTCTATTTGTATATGTAAGTATAAAAGTGGTAAGCCTTGGTAACCCGTCAGGCTTACATTACTTCGAACTGTGTTTAGGACAAAACTACCAAGTATTTTATACATGAAAGGACTTACAGATCTCATCCTAGTATAAAATAACAAGATTATGGATGGAAGAAAAAAGTCTAATAGAACATAAATTATGTTTGAACTACAGAAAATATTTAGACAGTCTAAAAGCCTTCCAGTCATAATCTTTAGGGCACTGCATATAGATAGATACTCGGCACTCATGTGTTCTGCAGAGATTCAGAAATACAAATGTGAAGGCCTCAAAGAATTTTTCAGACTGTTCACTTTATATCAAAAAGTACAAGTGAATACAAGTTGTAATCTTTATAGAGCTATTAACAACCAGCTGCTCCTAAACACCCATATGCCATTTGAAGATTTGAATACTAACATTGTGACCTCTTCTTCAAAGAAGGAACAATTAGAAAAACCTAATAGCTCTAGTTCTTTTTTGGCATTTAATTAGAAAGTCACTTTTTTGTGTAGTACACACTGACTTACAACAACAGTTACTTACAGGTTTTCTGACGTCTGGCAGGGTAGCCCACAGTGGAAAAACAATGGGTAACACCAAAAGATAGGTGATCTGCTTGCGTGGGGTTTCAGGCCAGGCCAGGCTGAGAGGCTGTTCCTCCTCATCCTCTTCATTCTGTAAGAAAAGCTCCAGTGAGCAGGTTATCAAAGTGGATGAATGAAGTCAGGGATTCTTTCAAAAGGAGTTCAAGGACAGTGTTGTGTTTCAGAGAGAACTGAAAACATTGCATTAACACCACACATACCTAACAGCATTAGCAGGACACACCAAGACAGACTTTGGCCATACTGCAAGGTATCCCTACAGCACAAGCTGCCTGAGGATGTCCATCTCTTGGCAATGTGGGTGGTCCCTTGTGATGCACAGGGTGTCTCTGACAAGTGTTCCCATGGCTCTCCCTTGGGATGTGGGCTCGTCTAGTCATGGGTTAAGACTTGTCTGGGCTGCATCAAGCCTGGCCACACAGACAGGAGAGAGAGCACGTGTGCACACACATGCCTGAGCGCACACACACGCACGTGTGCGCACGTTAATGTGTGCATATAGATGTGTGTGTATCTAACTCCTAAAGCTTTTGTGAGTAACTTGAAACCTTACTATTAAATATTCAGGCATACATATATTGGTATGTGTTGTCTTCTCCACTGGGAGATAGCGTAATTCAGGCACCCTCAATTGTGGAGCTGTAGTGCTAAGCTGCTGGGGTCAGACCGGGCTGCTCAGGGCTCTGCCCATTCAAACTGTGAAACCAGCAAGGACAGCGATGGCTCAGCTTCTCCGGGCCCCAACACTGTTGCCAGGTTGTCTACATGAGGAAAGGGCTTCTCCTTGTCTCTACCCAAAGACTCTTGTGTTCAGACCAGTCACAACACAGCAGTGTTCCTAGCAACTTGGTGCTAAAACTGAAGACATTCCTCTCCAATTTGTGTCACTGATTTTCACATCGGTCCCTAGTTTCCATTTATGTGTAAGCTGCCCACTTGTCATCTCTGTTACAGAGTAGGTGTATAGGAACCCTCTCCTATGACAGCAAACATTTGGCTTCCACTGCTTCTGCTAACAAAATGGAACAAGTATAGTGGGCATGACTCAGCCTTTTGCACATAGGTTAAAATAACTTTTAAATTGTTAGCATAGGTAGATGATGTCTCCAGAACTGCACATAAATTGCAGAATCAGGCAACTGAAAAAATGGCCTGAATAATACTTTCACACAGATGTGTATAATGCAAATGCTGTTAAAACTTGGAAAGATTTCTAGAGAGCTCAAAGAAAGCTAAAAAAGTCTGAAAAAGAGCACCCAGTGAAAACTGTTTGACAATGTGAGTGATGTGACTTCTTCCAGTAGTGTTTTTGGGTTTTATTTTTGAAAAAAAAAAGATAAAAATTGAGACATGTTCACAATATGCATGTTATTCCTCCTGTAGATTTATAATCAGTTTCTTTTCAGTTATTAAGATTACTTACATAAACCTTATGACAATGCTATATAAAACAATCATTTAAATTTTAGCACCAGTTGTTCTTTTCTAAGCAAAAGAGTTATTGATGAAATGTCACCATATGTTTACACTGTTAATAACATTCTACTTACTGCTAATTTTGAAGATCTGGTCTTGATTATTCCACTGTTATGAACTTCCAAATTGTTCAACTACCTGAGCTGATCAGTACTTACAAAAGCAAGCTCAGCTCTTAGCTTGGGATTTTTCACTATGAAGGTATCACCTGACATCAATGTACCGGAAACAAACTCCTATTTACCTCTTGACACACTAACAAGTTGGAGCAACTTTTGAATTGTGTGTCAATGTTAACAGAGGACAATATTTTGCTAACCCCTATACTTTGTGAAACTCCCAAGTTGCACAATTGTACGACAATAGTAAAGTGAACAGGTCATAATGGTTATAACAATTAAAAACATTTTAAAAATGTATAACCACAATTTGTAGCACTCAACACAGTACTTCAGAGACTCCTGAGCATCTTAAGAGGCTAGCTTTTGTTTTTAGCTTTCAGCTCCTCTCTGAAATGGACATACTATGCTTCATTACTGGAAACCTACTGAAGCCTGACTTTAGAGGAACTGTGCTGGAGGAGAAATTTGTGAGGCTACTTCCCAAACCCAAATCCATTCACTTTCCATTCTGGTTGATGCTTTTGGGGTGGGAAAATCAACCTGAGACACAGGCTCAGCTTTGAATTATGATGACTGAGATAAAATTTGAGCACAAAAGGACCAATTGAAGGGTTGCCTAGGTAACTCTTTCTGAATGGCCTCTCTGTAATTCAATCAGCCAACTCAGCTGGAATAAAGCTTTCTAAGTGACTGCTGCATAAACAGCACTGAGTGGCAAAGTACTTCCTGAATTGCCATCTTTAGAGATTAGCCATGATTAACAATTATATTTAATTACAACAAAACTTTACATTAGTCTGAGTTTGCACATAAGTCTTAAAAATATCTAGACAGTAATGCCTATGTTGGTTCATGCAATACTGTACCAGTACACACATATGGCTCAACACTGGGCCTTGCTCTATTCTCATGTCTGTGTCGAACACCTCTGGGTGTGCATGAGCACAGAGGCAACGTGAGTGGCTGTAGCAAAGAACTACACAGAATTGCTTTTGGAGATTGCCAGATGTCTCCTGAGAAACCTTAATCTATCTGTTCAAGATCTTTTTCCCTTCCAGTTGTCCTACATCATCCCTTTCCCCAAGACAACTATCCATAAAATATAAGGACAAACACAAGCTCACAGTGCAGGCAAAACACTTCTTTTGCTAGTTTAACTCCAGGACACATTAGATGTTGCAGATTGGATATTCTTTTCCCATTTTGTAAATTGGATTTGGCATCTGATTTTCAGTGCTGACCTTCCAGAAATCAGTGGAAGTAACGAAGTTCAAAGTATTTGTAGATCTAGCTTCCATGAATTTCAAAGCAATACTAAATTATCCCCTGATGAAGAATGGGAAATAATTTCGGTAGCTCTAAAACCACATAAATGCCAGTGTCATGCTGTGGACTAAGCAGCAATGACAGAAAATGACTCAGGACAGATTTATGGCAGAGATTGCATGCACTGTACTGGCTCTAGCCACGTACATAGTGAATATGCACTATCACAGTCTGTAGAAACTAATCCTGAAAATATATTTTTATTTCAGTCTATATAATGAAACTCTGTACTTGCAATGTTCAGTAGGATTAGATTCTGCAACGCTAAGAAGAAAGTGCAATTATAACTTAATATATACTGAGGAATTCAATTGCCTGAACACATATGATGGTACTATTTTAGATACCTTCTGGTATCTGCCTTGACCTCCACATGCTCTAACAGAAGTGAAGGATATTCTGCTCACTTTATGACACACCTGATCTCAATTCTTTTAGGGTGGCCAAAGTGCTACTACCTGCCCATCTCCACTCCAAAACTCATTCCCTGCTATGACTCAGTAGCTAGTTAACTTCAATTGGACTGGATATATGGGAAAGCTGCATCACCTGATATGATGAACTCTGATGATAATCCATTAGAAAGAAATTGCTGCATAAATGCAGAACAAAAGCCAATTTACATCAGTACCTTGCAATGGTCAGACATGGGCGTCCAGAGACTAAGTATCGGAATACTGCGTATTTTTCATCTTCCACAAATTCATAGAATCATAGCAATATTTAAGCTGGGAAAAACATTTTAGATTAACAAGTCCAACCATAAACCTAACACTGCCAGCTCCATCATGAAGTCATGTCCTCAAGCACCATACCTACACATATTCTAAATACTTCTATGAATGGTGACACAACCACTTTTATGCTTGATAACTGATCCAATACTTGATAAGCATTTCCATGAAGCAATTGTTGTAATCTCTGATCTAACCGTCTCTGACACATCTTGAGGGTGTTTCCTCTTGTTCTGTCACTTGCTGCTTGGGACAAGAGGCTGACCCCTACCTGGCTACGCAGTCCTTTCAGGCAGTTGTAGAAATGATAAGGTCTCCATTGAGCTTCAGTTTCTCCAGGCTGAAAAACCCATCTCCCTCTGCTGCTTCCCACAGGACTTGTGCTCCAGACCCATAACCAGCTCCATTGTCCTTCTTGGACACACTACAGCAATTCAATGTCTTTCTTGTAGTGAGGGGCACAAAAGTGAATACAGGATTTGAGATGCCTTACTAGTACCATGGGTACGGTGGGAAAATCACTGTTCTGGTCCTGCTGGCCACACTATTGCTAATATGAGCCAGGATGCCACTGGACATCTTGGCCACCTCAGCACACAGCTGGCTAGTGATTAGTTGCTGTAGGCCAGCACAGAATCACAGCATCATAGACTAGTCAGGCTTGGAAGGGATCTCTGGAAATCTGGACTAAATGACTCCCAGGTTCTTTCCCACTGTGAAGTTTTTCATTCCCCAGCCTGTAGCATTGTTGCATAGGGTTGTTGTGACCCAAGAGCAGGCCACAGCATCTGGCTTTACTAAACCTCATACCACTGGCCTCAGCCCATGGATCCAGCCTGTCCAACCCCTCTGAAGAGCCTTCCTACCTCCCAGAAGATCAACACTCCCATGTTGACAGGGTTCTTGATCCCTTCATCCAAATTATCAATAAAGACAACAAGCAGGACTGGCCCCAGTACAGAGCGCTGAAGAGCACCACCAGTGACTGACAGCTGGATTTACCTCCATTCACCAGTACTCTTTGAACCCTGCTGTCTGCTCAGTGAACTGTCCACACCCAGTCCACTCATCCACACCATGGAAAGCCAGTATCTCCAGAGGAATGATGTGAGAAATGGTGTCAAATGCTTTACTAAGGTCCAGGTAGACAAAATCCATAGCCTTTTCCACATTTACTATGAGTCAATTTGTCACAGAACGAGATCAGGTTGGTCAAGCAGGATCTGTGTTTGACAAACCCAGGCTGGCAGGGCATGACCCCCTTGATGTCCCGCACATGCTGTGTGATGGCACTCAGGGTGATCTGCTTCATGACCATCCCTGACATCAAGGTCATACTGAAAAGGTCTGTAGTTCTCGACACCCTTTTCCCACCCTTCCTGTAGCTGGGCATCACATTTGCCACTGGGACC